CAAATATGCAAATCTTCCATGTCAGTGCCCCAGCAATCATCTCATGATACATGTATTAAAAATTTTTGATAATGTGATGCTATCCTAATCATAGTTTTTGAACAAAGGTTATGGAAACATTGGATTCCGTTCTTGTGAACACTTCATACAAATACTACATGCTTCATGGAAAACACTTCGAGAATTTCATGGCATTGGTTACACATGTAGAAACAGAAATTCGAAAATCATTTCAATATCAGTGTATGACTGTTGTTTGTTGGATCACGACACACTTTAATTTCTTTGTCGTTGACAATATGTATCTAAAGTCTTTCTAAAACTGAAAAGTGCTCTTGCTCCTATACAATGTGTTTATTGCAACAGTAGTGTGGTATTTTTGCTCATTGTAGAGGAGGTAGATGTTTCTTTCGTTGGAGTTAGATCTCTTTTACTAATATTCATGGTCTATATTTATATATATTGTTGACCAATATTCGTGGTCCTTATAGAACTAAAATGTGTACTTGCTCTTATACATAATTATCCTACTTTCAGAGTCATTTAGTTAGCATAGTTTCCTTAGTTTCCTAATAAGCAAGTCATGTTTAGTTTCCCATCTATTTCAATAAGAGAGTCACGTTTAGTTCCCCATCTATTTCAGTTAAAGAGTCACGTTTAGTTTTCCATCTTTTTTCTGAGAGTCATGTTTAGTTCCCCATTATTACTATATTTTTCATGTGTATTTGAAAGGACAGAAGGTAGACACTTTCTGGTTGCCTTCCACTACCCAACACCCAGTTTTTTTATTGGGTTTTTTCCCACATCTATATCCATTAGTAAAGAGAGGGACATAGGGACATAGCCATGTTTAGCACTATAAAGGTGTCATAGCAATGGTGAGCTAAGTTGGCAGTTGATTATATCTCAAAGAAAGATTGAAAATAAAGATTGAAACAGTTTTTTGAATGAAATAATTTCCTTACAATTGTAGATCTGTTTGTCTATATGACATCTATATATAATGATGATTAAGACTGGTAGTCGAAAAGGTTACTAAAAATGAGAAAGCATAATGTTTTCCTTGTCTAGCTGTCCTTTTTTCCCACCTAAAGTCTAAGTGGTATGTCTTACTCAGGTACACACACCTGCATGAAACCTTTAAACCGTGAATTAGTTTTCTTTAAAAACTTGCAAAGAAAACAACAAAGAGCAAACCCTTGAGATCTGTTGCTTTGTTTGTCTTTTTGCCCACCTTTCAACAAAAGTTCACGTCCATGACAAGGCAATACATATATATCCCCCTGACGTCTCTACAAGTGCATACAACCATTGATTGTGGTGTTCAGGGCTTTAAAGTACACCTCCCGGAATTTAAACATTTTGCCATTTACCATAGATACATAGATCCTTGTTCCTTTAATAAACCAATAATAAATGTCAATCCTGAGTTGGCTATTGATTTCTCACTTTGTTTACTATTTATTCTGAAATGAATATGGTATTCTCTCATGCAATGATTCGAAACTGGCGTTAGTGTGCTGTGTCTTATATTTTTAGTTCAGTTTGAAAAGTTTTACCTTTTATATTCTTGGACACATAAAGTTTTAATCAATACTCTATTCTCTTGATGTAATGCTGAGTGAAGTTCAAAGGAAAGAAAGTGTTTATCTTTTTGTTAAGTGTGAAATTGTCACTGTTAATATTCCAAGCATTAATATTAAATATCGTTCTCCTTGATTGTTTGTCTGGCAAGAACCAATGTAGATTTGATCCAAAGTATCGGTTACAAGCAGAAACCCTTCTGAGCTGTTTTATCCTCCAGGATATAAGTGTATTTGTGTTTCTGATCTACAATATGTGAGTCTGATTATTTCATTACATATGCATGACTGGCTGCAATGAAAGATCATTCTCTGGGACTGTGTATTGAGTTGCTACTTAGCTCTCTGTTATGTTCTCGGCATGGATGAACGGCCTACTTGCTTGAGGTTTTGATATGGAGACTTGGTAAATAAGTTATGTGGAAGGCAATAATTGATAATCAGCAACATTTTCTTCTTGGATTCTGGTGAATAGATAAGGACAAATGCAGCATTGTTTATGGTATGCTTCTACTGATCCCGAAAAAGATCATATTGATCATGTTTTCGTGAAAGTATGCACTGTGAATGTATGAACAACACTTCATTTTTTTTACTCTGGATAAGTATAGACAGTTCTAATGGGGAAAATGAAATGGAACTTAAATTCGCTCATTCCTTCAATAATCCAATTATAAATGTCAATCCTGAGTTTTCTATTGATTTCTTACTCATCATTCTGAAATGAATACTGTATTCTCTCATGCAATGCTCTGGTACTAATGCCAAAGTGTACCGGTATCATGTCTGTTACTTTTGTTGTTCAGTGTGAACACAGACGGCCATTGCTGGGCTAATGAGAACTCAGAACCAAAAGAAGAATGAGGGGTTGTTCTGAAACACAATACCCATAACATGTTTCTTAAATGCCCCTCATGATGACAAACAATTCATGGTCCTATGTGGGAGAAACTAGGTTCCAGTACCTCTGTGGCTGAGGCTGGCTAAATGGGAATTGTGACGCTCCACTGATTGATGGCCCCGGACTGAGTCAATGAGAGGAGGTCAGGATCAATGATGCTTACCTGCTCCTGGCCAGAATAGCCTCTGTATTGGGTTTACCTGCTGTACTGACACAGTTACTTGGTGCTGACTGAAACTACAGATGCTGGCTATCATAATTTGGGAGAAGCCATCACTGTTGTGGCTCTTCATGTTTCTCTAGATCTCGGACATTGACCTTATTGCTTTGAAATTTTCATCTTCCCAATGACCTGACAGTCAGGTATTAGGAAGCTCTTGAGGACCTTAGTATTTCAAATCCCTTAGAGTTAACTTTTTATGGCATGATCACCTTGACTTATATTCTTAATTATGATCACTGTTTGTGATCAGAAACTGTTTGCACTTTTGCACCTGATTGTCATTGAAATCAGATCCTTTGATCAAGATCTACCTCACAAACTGCCTCTTCCATGAAATACGGTTTTAATGCTAGCTCTCATTTCAAGTGGTGTGTGGGTTCAGATTATGATAACTGGTGTGTCAGTAGCATAACCTGTAAACTTCAGTACTTTGACCTCAGTGTTAAACATCCAGGTATCTTGTTATTTTAGGCCCACATTAATGTCATGTGTTGTGGTTTAACTTACAAAAGAACTGTTCATGGTGGTGTTGATCTAATCTTGGTCGCTCTGTCCCTCTGTCCCTCTATAGGGGCTGTGGGGTAGCCTAGTGGTTAAAGCATTCGCTTGTCACACCGAAGACCCTGGTGTGATTACCCACATGGGTACACTGTGTGAAGCCTATTTCTGGTGTCCCCACTGTGATATTGCTGGAATGTTGCTAAAAGCGGCTTAAAGCTAAACTCACTCACTCTCTCTGTCCCTCTGTACCTTCTTCAGACCGCCTCCGTGGTGTAGTGGTTAGAGCGTCCGCCCGGAGAGCGGAAGGTCGCGGGTTCGATCCCGGGCTGCATCATACCAAAAGACGTTAAACTATGATACTTGTTGGTCCCTGCCTGGCGCTTGGCATTAATGGGTACAACAAGGACTGGTCGGCTCGGAGTCAGTATAATGTGTCTGAGTGGGGTATTCATGCTTCACTGCGGCATGGTATCTCAGTGGGCTAGCACTATAAAAAACCAGCTTCAGTCTGGGCTAGTACAAGCAGCCGCACATAAACATACACATGCATGCACATCGTCATATGAGCGAAATATTCTCAAGCACAACGTTAAACCCAAGTTCACCTAACCTCACCTCTGTACTTTCTTCACTCACTCACTCTCAGTATATGTGAACTTTTTTAATGATTTTAGCTTATTCTGAAGTGTTACCCTCAGGTATAGATTATAGAGGAATGGCTACAATTGTGTACATCATGCTAATTCTATGAAGCTTATGAAAATTCACAACAATCAATATATAAAATCAATGTACCCTATACCTTGTATATATCTGTATGGAGGCACAGAGAGTTCTTGATATTGTAACCACAAATTATATGTTAATTTTATTTCTAACATTTCCTAGAAAATGTCATGCTTTCTGGTGATACACCCAAGATTTATTTTGTTTAACCAGAAACTTTTCTCACAGTGTGAGTTTACGTGAAGCTGTTATTGATGATAAAATGGGAGTAACAAAAGTGCATATTTCCCAGGTAACACAAGAACTCTGTGATTCATATCTACAAAAATATACATGGCCCTTGTATTACCATCCTTTAAATGACATAGTTTGTGTTGTCACACAGAAGGGAAGATTTGTGTTGCCCGTCAGCGGTGCTTGCTCCCGTTGTGACAATCTTGTTGAGATATGCTGGTATGTATTTAAAAGATTAAATCCTTGCTGGAAGTTTATCTTATATTTTCATTCACTTGTGAGAACTTTTTAAAAGATGAAATACTGACACATGTAATACTTAACAAGAAAACAGAAAAGGTTCTTGTAATCTGACCAATATTTGGCTTGTTTGGTGCCTATCCTTAAATAATATTTGGTATTTTCAAATACATGAAATGGTATCATTTTGCAATGCAGTTTAGCTGAGTAATAAAGTAATATTAAGACACATTTAAATAATTGAAATTTAATTAATCATATTATGCTGATTTGCTTATTGACTGACATAGTTTGAAATATAATGTGCAGTCATAATAGGACTTATTGTTTACACTAAAAAGTTTTTATTTTTGACGTGTTCAGTAACAAGCTGTAACCAGGAACAAAATTTCAATAGGATATGATCAAACATGTCAGGATTAAATTCAGAAAGTAGTACTGTCTTGAGTTGACCAATGATGTTGGAGCATTAGTGATGTAGGAAGGAATTTGGGGGATTCTGCCCGCCCTTCCCCGTGTCCTGTTACACCGCTTACAAGAACAAGCTGCTCTGAGTGAGTCAGTAGTCTCAGTCTCCTCTTAGTAACCAGCTTTGTGTCTTGATGTAACACTGTCAACAAGGTTACATGGAAAACTGTGGACCATCACCACACCCTGACCTTTAGGGCTCTTAAATCAAGGCTGAGGCAAATGCTGCAAAAGCGGATTATTTTGTGGCCTGGTGCATCCTAGATGTTTATCGTGTTGATTTGTTTGTTGTGTCACAGTGTAATTATTAAGAAGGAAGTGTTGTATAAGCGTACCAGGGAGGTGCTTCATCAACATTGGCGGAACCTATACTGGATGTGATCCATTTGAACATCTGTGTCATCGCTGTCTCATTGTGCTAGTGGGTCTCAAGGTCTGTGTTGAGTTTGCTTGGGCGACATTCAGGTCTGCACCAGTCTTTGGCTATATTGACTCACAACCTCCTTTCACTCATGTGTGATGTAAGGACATGCTTTACTGTGAGCCAACCTGTCCATGATTAGACGCTTTGGACTGTCACACCTGGAAGCATCTACTTGACAAAATTCTGAGGAACTTTTCCCAAGCAGACACTAAGCTTCAAGTTTAAGTTTTATGGAAGGATTCAGGAAATGTTTTTTATTTCAATTCATGAAAAGACAAGCAATTCACCTCTCTTGAATGTATAACACACGTCAGAATGGCCTCGGGGAAGGTAAGGAAAATGCACTAATTAACTTGGCCTCGTGCGAGTCAACACGAGACAAGATGCTGACATGTCTGTGAGGAACATGGAGGATTGAGTCACAATATACATTACAGGGTTACAGTCAGCATCAGTTGCTACCTGGCCATGATTCAGGCCTCAGCAAACATGCTGTCCCTCAATGGACGCAACTTTCCAGGCAATCAATTCAGCAAATGTGCAGGTGCCATCTGTATTTGTGCTCACATTCTTCAATGATTCTGCCAGGCAAGCGATAAATTTCAGAAATAACCCTGGGGCTTGCCTCAAGTTCCCCCAAAATCTCAAGTGATGATTCAGCAAACAATAGCCCAGCATTGTTAAGGCATGATAATCATCCTTCATGCATATTTCCCTCTCATGATGACTTGTCAGTCGTTGCTGTCAAGTTTTTACGAATGAATTTAAACAAAATCAGAGTGTCTACTGCTCCCGTTGATCACATCGCTGACAGTGCAAGGCGATAGACTGTCAACTGTGTCAAGAGAGATGGCTTGATGATGTAGGAGTAAGGCTTGACTGCAGATTGTCTGATTGAACTGCAGATATCTGAGATACCTCTCTTCGTCATCAGTTTGACTGATGAAGAAGGCCAAATGTTTGAAATTACTTACCAGTGTTAAGATGTTGACATAGTTTTGTGATGGTTGTTAACAGTTTGTGGATTGATTGAAGTTCAGTGGCTAGTGTGTCCTAGTGTTGGAGCCCTTGTTGGTGTTATGTGTTCACAAACTGTTGTGACGGCTACTTAACACCACCACATGGAACTTGGAAGATGTTGGATGTGTTAGGCCTCCAGTTAAAACGATGTTTTGAGATTGAAAACAAATTTTGAATACTTTCATACAACATACATATTTGACGATCAAATCATCAGTTATTGTCATAATCATAGCCTCGATAATGTTGACAAAACGAATCATAAATGAAATTCAAAACTTGTGGTTTTATGATGCCTATAATAATAAAGATGTCAGATTGTACAATCGGTAGATGAGATCATCATACTATATATCTGTATAATCAGGATATAGGCAAAGTATTGACATCATTAACGTCATCAACAAGTCGAATACTTTACTTGAAAGACACCCTTAGCTATGTTCACATCGGTGGCTTTCTTCAAGCTATTCACTAATTACTCCCCAGTGTCAGCTGTTGTTCTGCAGTCTCACTTCCCAAAGCATATTTATATCAGTGTATTTCAGCTTGTTCCATCAAAACAACACACTTTTCTCATCCTTCTTGAAGCGTGTTTCCACTCACAGATCACATACTGGTTTCTGTTGCCTGATGCCCTCTTATCCTCCTATTTCTGGAATTTGAAATGTGGAATATCAGCAGATTTCGGAAGAGCAGATACTTCGGATAAGCTAAAACAGTTGATTTCAGATAGCATCATTGACATTTACAGTGATTTGTGCAGTGATCATCGAAAATGGCATGACGATGAAGAAAATCCATTTACATTGGACTATTTACAAACTGTGCGATTATATTGACTTTTATTTCCACTATAGTTCTAATGTTTTTAAGGTTGTCAGATGCTAATGTAGGTGAATGAGTTATTGCCTAGCAGCAAATACCAAGTGGAAAATGCTGATAAAATATGGGACGATGTCAGTGATTGGCAAATAAGATCATTGTTTTTGAGTTACGTTGATGCCACAGCTGTCATGAGTGACAAAACATTCGCACACCCAAAGCGTTTGAGCACCTCTCTGGTATCTGTTTTATTTGAGTTTCTCAGAGTAAGTAGACTCCTGTCAATATGAATGTGCTCTCCTTAACATTTACCTATAGATTGTAAATCAGGTCTGAGACAATAGACTTGAAGAAGACTGACAGCCAGGACTGGGATATTCTTGCTTCAACAGCAGGAGTCACCGTTAATATTTTTCAGTGAAACTTTTGAAGAAAATATGGTTCATAGTTGTGTCGTCTGCTATGGCTCATACTACTTGGTGTAAGATACCAGGCAATTAGCTTCACAGACAAAAAGGAATGCTGGAGTGCTGATGTCTCGGGATGTGGTGTAAATTCTGGGAATAATTCGGATTTCACAATGAAATTAAAGCATACGATTGATGACCTTGACCTGTGGTACCAAGAGCATATGCGGACACGGAGCCATGGCTCCCCCAGGACTGGGCGAGACACGGCTAATTATCGGCAGATCAATGCAGGTGAGATTTCACACATTTAAGAATGTGTGACTGTAAATGACCAACTGTTCTATTAATACCTCAAGTAACAAAGTAACCGAAACTATCGGATGAAATTAATGTTTGTTTTGCTGATGTCTGTCAATGTTTAAACTTGTTCTGTCTGTATGAGATATTCGTTTTGGTATTTGTTAAATGAGCATTTGTTCCATTAATATTATTAAGATTTCATCTCCGCTGACATCATTACCACCAAACATTCCAAGTGAACAAGATCCATCAGCAGTTAATCAATCTTCAGACATGACAAACTATGTCTCCCAGATCTCACTTTATTAAAGAACATGGATGAAAATCTAATAAAGTTAAGGCTAATAAACCTGCAGTTTCAATGAAAATGTAACTTTTTAACTGCTGATATTTACATTGACAGAAGTGTTCGATACTTGAAAAAACAAGGATATGGTTTGTTGACTCTGAACACAATTTAGTTCCAACACGAAGGGAAGCATCTTAATAATGCATCACTGGATTTTTTCAGACTGTAGACAAATGTTAACTTGCTTGACTCATTTTCCATCTATGAGTAAAAGTTTTGTAGCAGATACTTTCATTCAAGGAAAATGAGCCCTGCCCTTTTTGTAATAAACATGCACAGAATGTCCTAGAACATAAGACGGCAACATTTGCTGGTCAAACTAGGGCTCCTACAGCATGATCCACAAAGTCAGTGATGAAAGGCATGCAAGACAATTTTAGAGCAAGAGCTGTCATGTCCACAAGAGAAGTATGATGTGATCAGGTATTTGTGGTTGGGTCAGGTATAGGGCTGCTCCATCATCAAAGGACCGTAGTGATATATGGTGGTATCAGTAACACCACACAACCGCTAGCTCACACACACACATACACAGACTGTGTCACAGCATAGAGAAGAAGAGCAGTCCACGAGGGACTTTTGACAGATCAGCCAGCTTATAGATCACCTAGCTCACTGGTCCGCTGGTGTAGGATAAGGAATGTCTTCTGAAGTCATACCCATCCCTTGGTGATAGTAGAAAATAGAAGTCTCCATTAAGATGCAGTAAGGCCTCAAAATATGCTATTTCCACTCAAGAATCTTCTCACAGACTCGGGTCGGTGGGGTAGCCTAGTGGTTATTTAAAGCTATTGGCTCGTCAATTGGTTGAATCCCCACATGGGTACAATGTGTGAAGCCCATTTCTGGTGTCCCCCACCCTGATGTTGCTGGAATATTGCTAAAAGCGGCATAAAACCAAACTCAGTCAGTCAGTCAGTCTCAGAGACTCTTTCCTGTCTCACGATTATTTTCCAACAATTTTCTACAATAACCAGTATGCCAGGTTGGTGTTTAACTTTATCGTGATTGTCATGTCATATGATCATGGTAATCATGTTGTATTTCAGGTTTAAATGACAGTGTTTCATTGTTAGACTTAGTCAGTCCCAGACTGCGTTCGTGAAGGACTAGTGACATTTCAACTGGACCACCACTTTTCCCACAAGATAGATAGCAACTCTTTTGAAAATTCATTTCTAATGCTGCAGTACTTTCTGATAATTACCCTGTCATGTGTAAGAATTTGAGATGTGTTATGACAAAATATTGACATTTTAATCAATATGTTCAATGTTACAACTCTGCGAATTGGGCTGTAAAGTATACCAATAAACCAAGGTTAGCAATATTGGAGTTGAATAGGCAATTGTAGTTACTGCTACAATGCTTCCCTTATCTAGATGTACCACATTGTTACACTTAGGTCATAGTGAGACACAGATATATACATGTACAACATGTGTTTTATATACCGGTACGGTACCTACTATAAAATTTGAATAGATTGTAAAACACAGGTTTCTGAGAGGGTGAGTAGGTAAAACAAGCATTGTTACATATATGATGTAGAATATATTTGGATTGTAAAACACAGGTTTCTGAGAGGGTGAGTAGGTAAAACAAGCATTGTTCCATATATGATGTAGAATATATTTGGATTGTAAAACAATACAGGTTTCTGTAATATAGAATGTAAATGGATTGTGAAACACAGGTGTCTGAAAGGGTGAGTAGGTAGTACAAGCATTGTTCTATACATACGTAATATAGAATGTAAATGGATTGTGAAACACTGGTGTCTGAAAGGGTGAGTAGGTAGTACAAGCATTGTTCCAGACATAGAGGATATTAAACGATCTTCCGTGTAATACCAATTTTATGAAACAAGTTAATGATTTGGTATCAAACGAGCAAAAGCGAGTTTGATACTAAATCTTTCACGAGTTTGATAAAATGGTATTTCCACGAAAGCGAAGTTGAGTTGGTATCTGTTTATTACCCTCCAGCATGACTTCATAGAAACTGCCTACAGTGTGATGATTCTCATATCAATTTTCCGGCAGTCAAGCAAGGTCTAATACCATTGCGACAGAGGCATGAGCATTGTGACCTCATAACTGTAACCATTATGACGTCACATGTCTAGTGGTATTACACTAGTGTAATATTGCCGCAAAAATATTACACTGCAGTATCCTCCATGGGCGAGTAATAAATGTTATATCTCGCCCATGGAAAATACTGCAGTGTAATATTTTTATGGCAATATTACACTAGTGTTATATCACTAAACGTATGACGTCATAATGGTTTATAGTTATGACGTCACAATGCTAATACCTTTGTCACAATGGTATTAGACCTTGTTTGACTCGTGGAAAGCTGAGAGTCATCACACTGTTGGCAGTTTCTATTATTTTATGTTGGAGAGTAATAAACAGAATACTAAACTCACTCGCATGAAATAACATTTTTTATAAACCCATGAAAGATTTAGTATCAAAGTCGCTCTTGTTTGATACCAACTCATTAACTCGTTTAATAAAAATGGTATTACACGGAAAGTCATTTAGAATCCTCTATATATAGAAAGTAAATGGGTTGTAAAACACTGGTTTCTGAAATAGTGAGGAGGTAAAACAAGCATTGTTCCATACATAATGTAGAATATATATGCATTGTAAAACACTGGTGTCTGAGAGTGTGAGTAGGTAGAACAAGTTTTATTCCATATATGATGTAGAATATACATGAATTGTTAAACACTGGTGTCTGAAAGTGAGAGGCTGAGTTGGTACAAAGGATTTCTCAAGCCATTATGACTGGATAGACATGTTTACTAATCTGTTTGCTGTTTCTCTGATGATTCTTTTTCGTATTAATGGAAAACCACCTACATAATAATATTAATGTGACAAGCATTATGTTTACCTGTTTCATACGGCAACCTAACTACAAAAATATGTATTATGCTGCAACAGTACATTCCAGTCTTAATAATGACATAATTTCAACATCCTTTTGTTGAATATTTCCAATAAGTTGCAACTGAAGTCAGTCCTGTGATGCAGTGTTCTTTGGAGCTGCCATAAAAGGTCATTGTTGATGCAGTTGGCAAGCATTTATTAATGAAGCCAAGGAGAAACAGACAATAAATGATCTTTACAAGACAAGGCTATCTTGATTAACAGCTTGGGGCTTTTTTGAAGTTATTTTCCTGACTGTTAGAATCATGTATGGATGTCTTTGATTCAAGCATGTTCATTGAGAAAGTTGAGATTCAAAAGCCACATTGCCATCTGTTTTATAGTTGAGAAAAATCAGAATTGTCAAATTCATTAATGGAGAGAGATAGTAATGTTAACATTGCCAGGGTTGTTTTGTGTAAGTAATACTAATAGATACTGCAGTCAGCAAAGCTCCCCACAATCGCTTTGCCTTCCCTGCACTCTCGTCAACAAGTTTATGAACACAGTGGGATAGAGCTTGTTTTGCATGACATACATGCACAGCATCCTTTTCCCATTGTAAACAAACAGGCAAATAGAGCATGCTTATGCAAAATATATATGGTTAGGTCATGATTTGAGGTTGTTCTGGAAGCCATGTGCCATTATATACGACCACATGTGGGTAATGTTTCTTAGGTTATTATTCAAATAGATGCCACAAAGGTCTGCTCTAGAGTGAATACCGGCCATGATTTGTCCTTTCTGCACTCACGATCATTATACTATGTATACAGCTTAGAGCAATGGAGGCCATTCCACATTTCCTTCTTGGGTTCCATTCTTCTGGTCTTTTCTGTTTCTTAAAACAACTTGTACTATCTTAGAAGCTTCCTTATCAATGGTATGATATGGATCAAGTACACATAGCAGACTAGAATTAGTCATATTTTATGGAATAGAGGAATGTCCAAGGTCATGTTTGTTCTGAGTTTGGTTCATTACAGCAAGTTCCTTGGAAAAGGTCAGCCCAGGGGACACATGCAAACACGTATTAATTAGGACTCATCATTTAAATATAGAGGTGGTCTGACTGTCTGTCTCTGTCCATTTCTGTCATAACAGGCTGAAGGGACAGAAAACAATATATTGTGAAACTTGGTGACAGTCTTTGGTGAACTGATGAGGCCTACCAAAGAAGTCCACATTAATCATTGAAATAGCAACATAAACATATTACGTCGCTACTAGTCTCTCGTACAGACCCTGAAGAAGCATATCCAAGAAAGCCCACACAAGTCTAGAAAATGTGGCAAGCTTCTGAAAATGAAGAAAGTCTCAGGGCTCCTTTCATTATATATATTATTTTTACTATGAACTTTTTTCAGTAAAAAATGTTCATTTCAGAGACTAGTTGTTACTAGTCTCTTCGTGAAACAGCAAAAACAGCAACGAAGACTATGAAACTCCAAAATTTTTATATCAGCGAACTTTGACCTATAAAGATTACAATCCAGCTTCTTTCAAATCACTGCAACAGACATATTACTATGAAAATGTGGCAAGTCTATATAAGCTTTGACTGAAGAGTCTCATGCAGACCCTGAGTAAAAATGTTCAAACAGTTGTTAGTCTCACGCCGCTACGTGTCAACGAAAGACTATGAAACTGCAAAATTTTAAGCGAACTTTGACCCTCTGCTGCGCATAGGT